ATCCCCGTGTCATTCCTGCCCCCAGGGCACGTGCCAGTGGGTCACCCTGGACTTCCCCCGCCCCGTCAGGGTCTCTCAGCTCCACGTCCAGTTCCAGGGGGGATTCTCCAGCCGGCTGTGCACGCTGGAGGGTGAGGTTTGGGGGTGTTTGGGGGGGGGAGGGTCCCTCTGCCTTGGTTCACCCACACCTGGGTCCTGCATGGGCTGGAGCTGCTCCAGCAGGGTGGGCAGCGAGGAGCTGGGGGGGTCTCGGGGTGCTGGGAGGATTTTGGGACAGCCACTGAACCTCCCCCCTCCCCCTCCCCAGGCTGCAGGGCAGGTGAAGAGCTGGTGAAAATATCCGAGCTGTACCCCCAGGACAGCCATGCCATGCAAATATCCTTTGCCACGAGCGGGCTGGGCCCAACCCCTCGGTGTGGGGGGGTTCAGAGCCCCCCGAGGCTGCGGAGGGGCGGGGGGGTGGGGGCACAGTTGGGCTTTAAACTTCTGGGAACCTGCTGGGACTTTGCCACTGTCAGAGCTGCTCGGCAGAACTGGAGCACCCGGGGCTCCAGTGAACCCACTGGGAGCAGGTCTCCCACTGTTTTATTCCTGTTCTACTCCTGGTTTTATTCCTGGTTTTATTCCTTCATGGGCCCTGCAGAGATTCCAGGTGGAGGAGACGGTGCTGGACAAGCTGAAGATCACCTTTGAGAACAGCACGGACTTCTTTGGGAGGATCGTGGTGTATCACCTGGGGGTGCTGGGGGAGAGGCTGTAGGACACTGGTGTGGGGGGGTGGCTGCCCCCACCCCTGGGTGGCTCTTAAAACCTGCCCCAGCTGCCCCCCCGAGGCGCTGAGAGGAACCCACATCCCTCGGGGTGGCGGTGACAGAGGGGACAGTGCAAAGGGATCCCCCCTTGGTGGGATTTGGGGTGCAACCAGATGAATAAACAGGCCAAGGTAATGCACAGGGCTCCACAGGGCTGCTTTAGGCTTTAATCCTGAAAATGCCACCCTGGAATTCACGGAGCAGCTGAACCTGGACGGGGCAGAAGCGCTGCTGCCCCGAGGAACGAGCGTCCCTGAGCGGGAGGCACCGGGGCTGTGCCACCCCTGGGAGAGCTGCAGGGATTCCCGGATTCCTCCACGTGCTCCTTTGCCTGCAGCCTCGTGCCGTGGCCCTTTTCCTGGTCCCAGAGAAGAGCTGGGGCTGCCAGCCCCGTGTCACTCCAGCCCCTTGTTCTGGAACAGCTTCAGGATGTGGTTCTCGATGACCTGTTGGACTGAGGGAGGGAGAGAGTTGGGGAGGAGATGGTCAGCGTTTTGCTCCTGTTTTCTGATGGAAAACCCCCTTCTCCAGGGGCCTGTCCCCACCCCCCCAGTCCCAGCCCTATCCCCAGGGTTGGGGAGCAGAGCCCGAGGGTCCCATGTCCCTGGATCAATGTCTGATTTCCCTGGATCGATGTCTGATTTCCCTGGATCGATGTCTGATTTCCCTGGATCGATGTCTCTGCGTGGCAGAGACAGGGCTGTGGGGGGTCAAAGCCAGCCCCAGGCAGTGCTGGGAATTGCCTGGAGGTTTTCCAGGGAGGGAAGGGGAGGGGACACCTGCCTTTCTTGTGGCCCAGGGCCACGGCCAGGTCCATGGGGGTGTAGCCCGAATCCGCCTCCTCCGTCAGGTCAGCGCCGTGAGCTGCAGGTGGAGAGCAGGGCAGGGGGGGTGAGGAGACCCCCAAAAGCTGCCCCTGTCCCCCCCCAGGGGCGTGTCCCTCTTTTCCCAAGGCAGGGGGAGCAGCAATTCCAGGGGCAGGCGTTCCCCTTACCCAGCAGGGCCTCCACACACTTGACGTGGTTCCCACGCACGGCGTAGAGCAGGGGGGTGCCACCGTTCTGGGGACAGGGGGGACAGGGGCGGTCACTGCCGGGCTCCCACAGCTCCTGCTCCTCCCAGACAGGGGGTGTCTGACCTGCTGGGATCCCCCTTTCCACCCTTTCCCAGCTCCAGGCTGGAATTCACAGGGATCCCCCTTCCACCCCCTCCCCAGAGCTGCTCCCTGCAGGTTTTATTCTTCCCCCTGCGACACAATAACTTTGTGTCACTTGAAAACCACCCCGACCCTCTGCTCGTGGGTGGTTCCTCGTGGGTGGTTCCTCGTGGGTGCTGCCACCCCCCAGCCAGGGGAAAAACAAAAAACCATTTTAAAATCATTTAAAACCGTTATCCCGATTTAATTTCTGGGAACCACCACACGAGCGAGGCTGGGAGTGCTGGGAGCCCGGGAAGCACCAGCCTGGAGCGATGGGAGCTTTGTGGAGGCCTGTCCTGGTGGCCCTGGTGGCCCTGGTGGCACTCACCCAGTCGTAGATGTTGATGTCCACGTTCCTCTCCAGCAGCAGGGTGACAATGTCCGTGTACCCCCCCATGCTGGCCAGGGACAGGGCACTCTCCCTCTCCTTGGCCAGGGCGTGGGGATCAGCTCCCTGAGAATAAGGCAGGGGTTGGTCCTGAGAGGTGGCAGAGCCTGGGACACCCCACAGGGGTTGAGGTTCACACCTTCCCAGCCAGCCAGAAATCCCTCCTGGCCAAAATCCTTGCTGGGCATGTTTTAATCACCACCAGGCATCTCATGGGAGGCCTTAAAAGCCCTTCCCCAGCGTCCTGGTGGATCCTGTTACTCAGAGTCAGCAGGAACAGCATCCCTGGCCTGTCTGGATCCCTCTACAGTGTCCAGGGTCTCTTTTTGCACTGATCTCCATGGAAAACCTCCCTGTCCTCCAAGCCCTGCCAGGCCCAGGCCCCTCCTGGCCTTCATCAGATGCTCTGTGGATGCATCACCCCATTTACTGGGGCTCTGTTTGTCCCTCAGCTCCTGTTTATTTGCTGCTGATGCAGGAGCAGAGCTCGGTGGGGGCTCCTGAGCTGCGGGTGCTTCCCAGCCCTTGGATCCAGGGGGATGTGGGACCGAAATTTGGGGAGCAGCCCCTTCCAGAGGGTGGGACGTGGTCCCTGCTCCCTCCCCCAGGCTGCCAACCCAGCGCTCCTGAGGGCAGGGACTGCCACGAGCCCTCAGCGAGCACATTTGCTGGCAGGTTATGGATCCTGTGGGAATAAGCCTGGCCGAGGAGGCACCAGGACGGTGCTGGACGATTTGGGAGCCACCAGGGACTGGAGGTGGGAAGTGCCCTGTTCCCCAGGGAGGCCTCACCCACTCCAGCAGGTGCCGGACCGTCTCGATCTCCCCGAAGGCGGCGGCCCAGATGAGGGGGGTGAAACCTCTCTCGTCGGGTTTGTTCACCAAGTTCTCACCTACACAAACACGGGGGGGGGGTGAGGGGGACACACAGGTGGGAAGGGGAAAAGCCCCCTCTGCTCCCTCAGTCCTCCCAGTAAACCCAGCAACACCAC